TGCTGTTTTGAGCTTTGTGTATAACTAATAAAAGTTCTGATTTTTCATGTTTAAGATGTTTCATTAAGGTCATTTTTGTGCTTGGGGTCGACCTCCCCCTCTTAGGCCTCGTTTGGCCTCTTTTGTGCCTTGTTTGTTGAGCTTTGGGAACTTTCGTGTATTGGCCTTCCCGCCACTGAATTCCAGAGGATTTTCAGTGGTGGTGAAGGGGTTTTGAGGTCTTGCATAGGGGAGGGACACCTTTCTCCCTTTGTGTCTTATTTGCTTGTGTTTTGGCTCATAAGGGAAGCATGCATGCCTAGCTTTGTTTGGCTTTATTTCAGAGGTTATTTGGTGTTTATCTAGCATGTTTTATCTCTGTTCCATGTTGGTTCGTCGACCCCTTGCATGCACCATACACTTGCCTTGCATTCCTCTATTTTGCCTAGAGATGCATCTTGCATTTGGATCACCATGCTTGCATGTTTTGGCTTAGCTTTGTGAAGTTTTTGGTCATGTTTTATCATGTTCAAGCTCTGTTGGGTGTTGATTTGGTCATGCTTTCCATACTTTGTATAGCCTCTTTGCATTTTAGCTTGTTGGCTTCGGGTGTGTGAGTCTTTAGCATGCATTACTTAGGCTATTTTAGTGATTTGGAATCACTTATCATGTCATTTCAGTCCATGTTTTATGCTTACATGCTTGCATTTGATTACCCTTTCAATGCCTTGAAGAGTTGTGGTCCTATGCTCCATGTTTGAGTCCTCGGTGTATGCCTTTTTGTTCAAGTCCTTGGGCTACCATATCAGTGGGTTTGGGGTGTATTTTGACGCATTGAAACTCTATTTTTGGTTGCATAATCCATGCCATGTGTGGCCATGATAGTTGTAGTGGAATGCTCCCTTTTATGCCTTAGTTTTAGGCCCATTGGTGTGCATGTTTGCATAAGCATTTGTCCATCATTTCCGTCACTTTGGGCCACTGTTTATGGCAAGGCTGAGGTCTGCCCTTTGCGGTTTAAGTCCACCATTGCATGTTCGCCGCACGTTTGTTGCATATTTGGTTCATTATGTGTTGTCACATGCTAGTTCCATTACATATTTTTTCATGTTTGCTACATTGCATTTTGCATGCTTGGCATATTGCACATTTGCATATTTAGTTTGTATTACATTTGGCATGCTTTGCTAACTTAGCCTCATGTTGCATACTTGAGCCATTTTACATATTTGAGCCATATTGCATACATACATTGCATTGTGTTTGGTTTGGGGTGTCAAACCAAACATGGGGAATGAGGTGTGTTCGTACTCAAAGTGACGAAACACGTCTCAATCCTCAGTCCCCGACGCCCTTGATCTCAACTTGATAGGGCGTGAAGCATTCACTTGTTTGTTGCATTCACTCGTTTGTTGCATTCATTTATATTGATTTGCAAGCTTGGTGCCTTTGGCCATCATGCATCGAAATGCATGGTTGGTGGCCCGAGGACCGAGGGCCACACTCCCTTGAGTCTATAGAATGATAAGGAAAGTGGCCATGCACACATTGCTTTGAAATTTCCTTGCCATGCACTGTCTGTCCTCTGCTGCTGTCAAAACAGGATTCTGCAGAAATATTTGGCCGACCGACTACATACAGTGCCGACCGACCAAAAATATCTGGCCGATGGCTTCACAACTAGTCGATGACCATTTATCAATGGCCGGTGGATCTTTACCTTGGTCGGTGGCATCCCAAAATGATCAGGGAGTGGTTCAGAAGCATCAAGAATATTTTCACAATTCTCAGGGGTGCAGAACAGTGCAAACAGAGGAAACAGTGGCATGGCAACGGGTTTCTGAGCGAGGCGATCGAACATGCATCATTCAAGCATTCCGAGGCGGGGCTGCGACCACCTTCTTTTGTAATTAATTTTTTTTAATTGATTAGGATTTTGTAATATTTAATTAGCTAGGGTAGTTAATTATTTATTCAGTTTGTGTTATTTATTTGGACCCTCCGAGCGAGGGCAATTGTGTAATAAGTGTGCGTGAGTGTGTGTATGTCTTCCAACCCCACGTCTTTCTCCCTTTTACTTATTAGCTTTTGATGGTTAGTTTAGGACAGTCTTTCTCCCTTTTATTTATCAGCTTATGATGGTTAGTTTTAGGGCATATTTCAATTAGCATACTTATGCTCGCATGTTTGCATCATTCATATGTCTTGCATGCACCGGGCTCGGCGCATCATACTAACTGCATTGTATTTCAATTCCAAGTTGAATACGTGTTAGTTGTAGCATCTCACATGCCATCTTAGAATAGCCGAGCCTATCTTAGTTGCATTTTACATGTGTTGCATTAGCCATCATAACATGAACTAGGATCATGCATTGATTACTAACTAGTTTTTGTTTTGGCTCGGAGTACTCGGTAAGTGATTATGCTTTAGCATCCTTACATGCGTGTGAGTGACTGCCATGATAGCATGCTTACCATGAGGCTATATGCTTATGTGATATAACTGCCTGAATGCCTGTGGGTGAAGGTTGGGTTGCCTGAATTGGAATAATTCGTCGAAACCCGTGTTTTAGCCTACTTGGGAGTAGCAAACTTCAATCCATTTTCAAAACAAACAGATATACGATGCTTTGTTCCAACTTAGGCAATCCAGTCTATACTTGTATGCTGTGCACATCACATAGTAATTCTAGGCTAATAAATTGGAATAAGAGCACATAATGTTTTCAAAACTCGATGTCATGGTTAGCAGAGGCCGATCTTTGATCGAGTGAGCAGGGGTGCTCATGAAATGACATTCCCCAATCGTACCTAAGTTCCCGAGCCAAGGCAACTTTGGTGATGATGGACACGTGGCCTTAAGCACGAGTCAGGGTTTCCTAAATTCCCCCAAAATAAAATATTTAGGTGGCAACTCTGTATCTGGCAAAGCAGTCCATGTTTGGCACTTCTTTCTAAAAAATCTGTTTTTCAAAACGATTTGCTGGATTTGGACTCTTTAGTGATTTATCGGTCTCGCATTGCACTTTACAGGATTAGATTCAGAATCGTGACATTTGAGTCCGAGCTGTAGTAATCCCAAATGAACAGAACGGGGGATTTCCCTCCCGGGGCGTTCGGGGACGTCTACACCAACGTATCTTGGTGCTAGCTTTCCTTTCACCCCAAATCACGTCTGACCCTTCATTGGAGTTACTTTTATAAATACGTGGTCACGAACTTTGTATTCCCTATCCCTTCTTCGGACATTCGCATAACTCTTTTGACGGCTCTTTGCAGTTTTCAAACGTTGTTGAATCAGTTTCACTTTCTCAATTGTTTCTTACACAAGTTTTGGTCCCAATAATGGCCTATCACCTACCTCAGCCCAACAAATTGGAGATCGACACTTTCTATTATACAAAGCTTCATATGGGGCCATACCGATACTTGAATGGTAGTTATTATTATACACAAATTCGACCAATAGTAAGTAGGTCTTCCAATTGCTTTGAAAGTTTAAAACACACATCCGTAACATTTCAGCACACCATTTTCAGTCACAAATCCCGGCTTCAGTTTTGAGCCAATCTCCTCAATGATTTTCTTCAAGAACTCATCTTCACGTTGTTTCTCTTTAATTTCTTCAATGATAGCAAGTTAAGCAAAAATAGCGGCCAAGATCCCACCTTGTTCACGCAACACAAATTCAATCTCATTCTTCTTCAAGTCACACAACATCTCTCTCCGACCTGTGAGCAAACATGACAAATTCCCAATAGGTATTTGCCTTTCCTGGATGATACAGAATTTGGAAATCATAGTACTTAATCAATTCCAGCCATCTTCTATGTCTCATGTTTAGCTCTTTTGGGGTGAAGAAATGCTTTAAGCTTTTATGATCTGTATATACTTCACAAGTTACTCTATACAGATAATGGCGCCAAATTTTTAATGCAAAAACCACAATTGCAAGTTCAAGGTCATAGGTCAAGTAGTTCTTTTCATATGGACGGAGTTGTCGAGAGGCATAAGCAATTACCTTCCCGTTCTGCATTAACACACACCCCAAGCCTTTGTAAGAGACATCACTGTAAATCTGAAATCCATCTGTTCCGTTAGGCAAAGTCAGAATCGGTGCAGTTACTAGTCTAGTTTTAAATTCTTGAAAGGCTGACTCCCATTGATCGTTCCAGTCAAACGGTGCATTTGTCTGTGTCAACTGTGTCAATGGCATGGCAAGTTTCGAAAAATCTTTTACAAATCTTTTGTAGTAGTTGGCAAGTCCCAGAAAACTTTTGACTTCGGACAAATTGGTTGGTCTTGGCCAATCAACAATAGCCTCGATTTTCTGTGGATCCACTGATATGCCATCTTTGTTGATTACATGACCCAGAAATGCCATGGTGTCAAGTCAAAATTCACATTTGAACAACTTTGCATACAATCTCCTTTCTCTCAAAATCTGTAGAGCGGTTCTCAAGTGATTCTCATGTTCTTCCATACTTTTAGAATAAATCAAGATATTATCAATAAAAACAATGATAAATTCATCGAGATATTGTTTGAAAACCCTATTTACTAGGCCCATAAAAGCTGTTGGTGCATTTGTTACCACAAACGGCATGACCAAAAATTCATAGTGCCTATATCTAGTTCTGAATGTTATTTTCTCTACATCTTCTGCCTTAACCTTTAACTGGTGATACTTGGATCTAAGGTCTATCTTGGAGAACATTTGTGCTCCCTGAAGTTTGTCAAATAGGTCATCTATTCGGGGTAATGGGTATTTGTTCTTAATAGTCACTTTGTTCAATTCCCCATAGTCTATACATAGCCTTAAAGATCCGCCTTTCTTTTTGACAAACAAAATTGGAGCACCCCAAGATGAAGTGCTCGGACGGATGAATTTCTTGTCTAAGAGTTCTTAGAGCTGAGTTTTTAATTCTTTCAATTCAGAAGTTGACATTCGATATGGGATTTTAGAAATTGGTTGTGTTTCGGGTATTACATCAGTGGTGAATTCAATTTCTCTATCAATTAAGTCCCCTGACAATTACACATTGGAAAATTCACAAACAATAGGAATGGTTTCCACATTAAAACTAGTGGCACTCTCAGTCAAAACATAACACACATAACCCCAACATCCCTTCCTAAGCAATTTAACAGCTTTCATGGCAGAAATCAAGTATGGGGGAGGAACTACCCCATTCCCGGCAAACATAAGCTCTGCTAACTCAGGTGGACGAAATACAACAGATTTATTCACACAATCAATAGATGCGCAGTACTTTGTTAACCAGTTTATACCCAATATGTAGTCAAAATGATCAATCCCCAAAGGCAATAAATCAATATATAATGTCATGCCACCAATCACAATGTCACATGCCGGATAAACATACGTACATACCATAGAGCCTCCAGATGGTGTAAATGCAGATAACAAATAATTCATAGGTTCTAATGGTCTAGTTAATTTTTGAGAGAAAGTATGCGATACAAAAGAATGCATAGAAGCAGAATCTATCAGTACACATGCATTTTGAGAACAAATAGGGAGTATACCTGACACCACAGCTTCAGTGTTCTGTACGTCACCAGGCACTAATGCAAAAACTTGGTCTTGTCTCAAGGTTTCTTTCCCGGTGTTAGCTCTCGTATTTGTTCTAGCTGTAGAAGCAGATTCGGCTGAACTTGCTGCCAGACAATCGGCATTTTTAGATCTAAGTAGGCAATCTCTCACTACATGACCCATCTTGCCGCATCGGAAATAAGCATTAGATGCACGGCAACACACACGCTGATGTTTCCTTCCACATTCAGGACAAACTGGTATGGACCTACTGCTCTGCCTTGAACTACTTGTAGACCCCGTGTTCTGCTTCTTGTTTACAAAAGAACGACCCTTCCTAAAACCGTACCCAGACCTTTTACCTTTCCATTCTGTTATTGGCACTTTAAATTGTTTCTTTGCTGCCAGATTGGCTTCTACCATCAATGCCCTATCTAGCACATCCACATACGTAGGTAATTTTAGGACACCTACCCGATTAAATATATCTAAATCTAATCCACCTTCAAATTTCTGAGCTTTCTTGTAGTCCGTATCTATCATATGAGGAGCAAATCGAGCTAGTTCAGTGAATTTAGCCTCATACTCGGCTATAGACATGTTGCCTTGCTTGAGTTCTTGAAATTCTAAAACCTTTTAGTCTTGAAAGCACTGAGGAAAGTACTTGTCATAGAAGATCTCATTGAATTGAGCCCATGTCATATTTCCATTGTCAGTTTGAATTAACAACCACCATCTTCGAGTTTCATTTTTTAGTGTATAAGTGGCCAAAAGGACTTTCTGAGTCTCGGAGCAGGGAAATACTTCAAATAATTTTTCTGTCTCGAGTAACCACGTTTCTGCCTTCAATGGTTCAATACCACCCAAGAAGGTTGGCGGTTTCATCTTCATGAATTTCTGAGTTAGATTAATGATGTCATTATTATCTGGTTCAACTTGGACCGGAGGAGGCGGAGGTTATTGTTTTTGTTGTTGTATCATTACTTCAATTAGGGCTGTGAGCATTTGTTCCATTCGGCTCATGCGAGCCTTTGAGAATTCAGCTGTACCATCACTTCTTGTATTTTCCATTTGCTGTAAGTAAATAGAGCACTTATGAACATAGGCAAATAGTTCTTTTCACAATGTTCAGAACATTCAATCTCAGTTCATTCATTTAATTCCATGTGTTCATATTCAGGTTCAGTTTTCACATTTATAGCAATCAACACACACTCTCTCTCATACAGATGAAATGTCAATATTTCTTTCTAGGACATTCTATAACTCATATGGACTCATGTATGTGGTATAACTTGTGCTCTGATACCACTCTGTCATGACCCAAACCTGCCCTTAGAGGTTTAGCGTCGTAACCGATCAGTAATCTTTGGATTACCAAAGGCTTCTGAACAAATTAACATATAAGTAAGGGGCTGTAGAAGCAAATATAGAAACATACATAGTCTAATTGAGCTGTGTAGACATACACGGGACAGAAATTTTAAAAACTGAATATATACATATAATAAGTGACATCATGGTTACAATAATCTTATGTCACCAAAACGGGACTCAGCCCAGTATAGATAGACGAAAACATGTTCGAGAAGCACCAGAAATAAAACAAATTCTTTTGCATAGTTCACCAAACAAGACCACAGGATTTGACTTTCCGAAACCTCCTCGAAAGGCACAAAAAGGTGGTCGACAAAACGGAAATCCAGGCGATCATCACTGAGCTTGGCTACGCACCTGATCACCTACATATATAAATAATAACGTGAGTGGAAGCCCAGTGAATAATAACGGAGTAAGGGTTAATGAATGATATCCCATATCAGATTCAGAAAACAAATTCATATACAGAAATCAAAATTCATGCTTAATCACATGTGGTACATCCATTAGCGTTAACAGAACATATACAAAACAAATGCAGAAACATATGGTGGTTATTAGTAACTAGTTCCATAAAGGAACCTCTGGATCTGGGTAATAGATAACAGATATGCTGAGCCCCATGATAGAGCCTCCGATACGGGTAACAGATTGTAGATATATTAAGTTCCATAATGGAACCTCCGATACCGGGTAACAGCTAACAGATATCACATGACGTTAAGGATGCCACGAATACATTGTTAGAAACTGGACAATCATTCATTGCACAGAACATATCATTTCAGAAAACAGATCTTATTTTATTATACAGAAAATAAATAAAGTTGAACATAGTTTTACTAAGTTATTACTCACAGATTATTGCACAAATAACTTGATAGCAGCCAACGGATCAATAGTTCACAGCACGTGTCTGTAGACACCCCATTTTTGACCGACCTTAAGACTCAGACGTCATCGATTGAGTGCTCGGTGATGGTGCATATTGTGCTCGTTTTGAGGTTTCGGAGTTTTGGCTAAGAGTCTTGCCTCCAAGCCTCTGAACTCTTTGTGCTTTGACTCGGTTTGCGGACCAAGTCTTGTTTTCCCTTCTCGAAGGGAGGGAGTGGTCTTGTAGACCATCTCTCTGTGGTCGTAGACTGCTTTTCATGGTCGTAGGCCACTTTTTCCGTTTGGAGACTAGTTTTCGATTTTTGGAGCCTTTGGCCTCGCGCCTTGTCTCGGGACCGCTTAACATTCTCCGTTTGGCGTGATTTTTGAACCACACCTTGTTGCCTCTGCCTAGAGGAACACGGTGGTCCCGGAGACCACTTTTGTGGTTGCATACCACTTTTGATGCTCGTCAGCTAGTTTTCGGGGCTTTCGGCTGCGTGCGTTGCCTCCCGATCTCTCGTCTTGTATCCGTTTTGGTTTGTTTTTGGTACAAACCTTGTTTTCCTTGTTTGGAAGGTGGTACTAGGGTGGGAGACCAGTATTTCTCCTTGGAGACCACTTTTCATTTTTCCAGCTAGTTTTCTTGTCAGATAACTTGCTTTCTTGGTAGGGAGTGGTCTTGTAGACCATCTCTCTGTGGTCGTAGACTACTTTTCATGGTCGTAGGCCACTTTTCCCGTTCGTAGACTAGTTTCCGATTTTTGGAACCTTTGGCCGCGCGCCTTGTCTCGGGACCGCTTAACATTCTCCGTTTGGCGTGATTGTTGAACCACACCTTGTTGCCTCTGCCTAGAGGAACACGGTGGTCCGGGAGACCACTTTTGTGGTTGCATACCACTTTTGATGCTCGTCAGCTAGTTTTCTAGGCTTTTGACCGCGTGTTTCGTCTCCCGATTTCTCGTCTTGCACCCGCTTTGGTTTGTTTTTGGTACAAACCTTGCTTTCCTTGTTTGGAAGGTGATACAAGGGTGGGAGACCAGTATTTCTCCTGGCCGACCACTTTTCCTTTTTCCAGCTAGTTTTCTTGTCAGATAACTGGCTTTCTTGGTCTTTGGACCATCTTTTCTGGTCGACCACCACACCACCACCTTGCATTTAGTGTGTTGACCTCTCCCACCTATGGCCGACCATTTTCTGCTCTGGTTGACCACCTAAAGTGGTCAGCCGACCACTTTTACTAGCAGGCCGACCACTTCAAGTGGTCGGCTGCTTCTTGGCACCTTTTTGGAGATATTTTAGGACAGCTGTCACAGCTAGAGAGCATTTGAGCCATCCTCCATACACGTGTATGGAGGGATGGCATTCAAGCTTAGCTTCTCCAAGAAGCTTTGGCTTTCCTCTTCTATAAGAGGGAGGCTCCTCCTTTCGCCTCCAGGTTCAGAAAATCTAAGGGAAGAGAGTTACATATAGCCTTGTCTCTATATCACTCTTGTTCTTCATTTTTGTGTTCAAAAGTGTAGATTTGTCTTACTTTAACACACAAACGCACACTTAAACACCATCCTTTTTCTACTGAGGTGCTTTGGGGCTGATTTTGGTGTTCTTGGGTTTCCTTGAGCTTGGAAAACCTGCTGGAGTTGCAGTTATAAAGAGGGTCTTCAAGGGTGAGCTTTTGACCTTTAAATTCTCCTTTCTTGCTTAAGCTTTTAGCCTATCTTTCATGCTGTTTTAAACTTAGCTCATAACTGATAAGAGTTCTATTTTTGCATGCTTAAAAAGTTTGTTTAAGATCACTTTTGTGTTTGGGGTTGTTTACCCCCTCTTAGGCCTTCTTTGGCCTTGTTTTTTAGCCTTTTTTGTGAGCTTCGGAACCACCTTGTATTGGCCTTCTCACCAATGAAATCCAGAGGGATTTCAATGGTGGGGATGGTGTTTTAAGTTCCTAAAAAGGGGAGGGCCATCCCTTCTCCTTGCATCTTCAATGCATGCCTTAATATGCCTCATGTTTGAGCACATTTACTAAGTTTGTGTTAGCTTGTTCTTAGCATGTATTTGTGGTTATTTTGCTATGGAATACCACTGTTTTTACTTGCTTTGGTCACTCCATGCATGGTTAATACACTCGTAGTGTAAATCACACACACTAGCTTTGTATGCTTCATGAAGTAGCATGTATTTCTAGCCTATTTTCTTTCCATTTCAGTATGTTTTTGGTGATTTTTTGCCATGTCATGACTCTATTTTTGTTTGATTTGGTTAGCCTTTGCATGCTCCTTGCACTTGTAGTGCACTTCCATGAAATAGCCTAACATGCATCATGTTGTAACATGTCATTTTAGCATGCTTTTGGCTTGACTTAAAGAAGATTTTGTTCATGTTATACCATGTTTAAGGTCTGATTTTGATTGTCTTGGTCATGCATGACTTGATTTGTATAGCTATAGTTCAACCTAGCTTGTTAGCTTTGTACACCATGTCCACTAGCATGTTCTACTTGGCTTATTTGAATAATTTAGCATCACTTGTTATGTGATTTCAGTCCATGTTTCATGGCCGTACATTCACATTTGTCACACATTCAATGCGTTGGAGGGTTTCCCCCTTTATGTCTTAACATGAACCATTGCATATGCCTTCATGCCTTTGCTTGCGAGCCACCATTTCAGTGTTTATTTGGGGTTATTTTGCCATGATATAACTCTGATTTTTATTGCTTAAGTCATTCCATGCTTGGTCTTAATAAGTGTAATGTAACTCACCTTATTTGCCTTGTATGATTCATGCTTCATGCCCTTTTTGCTAGCGTATTTTGGCCTACTTCCATGCATGTTTTAGACTCATTCTAACATGTACTAGGACTGTTATGGGTTGCCTTAGTCACATGCTTCATATTTTGTATACTTGTAGTACAAATGCTCTTGCTTGCCTCAAGCTTTGAGCACCATTGCATACTTCATTTGTGTCGTATGCATGATTTGGCATCATCTAACATAACATTTCAGAGCTTATTGCATGCTTTTGTTCCCACTTCATTCATGCTTTGAATGTCTTTAAGTGTTGTGCATTATGGCTTTGTTATGGCCTTAGCTTGCATGCCTAGGCCTTTGGGCCCTCATCTCAACATGTTTAGGTCCTTGTTTTGACCTACTTGAGCTCTGTCCATCCTTAGTTCATGCATTTGTGCCATGTGTTGCATGCCTCCTTTGTGTTGCTCTTTGCTAGCTTTCATGCCTTAGGACCCTAGCATGCTTTACTTATGTTGTTTGAATGATTTGGCATCATTTCTTGCTTCATTTCAGTGCACTTAGTGTTGTTACACTTCCACTTTGGTCACTCATTGAGCA